CCTAAGCCGATCAAACGACACGCCTATGGTACGGAAATCCTGAGCTCTTTTGCTTTCCATGTTTTTGTTACTTTTTTCTCAACACATGTATTATATAAAAATATGCACAATTTATTCCGAAAATGGGCAAATTGAGCCCCCTACTGACCGAGGGGAAGAAATGACGAAGACAAAGGGGGTAGGGAAACCGCCGGGGTCTATTAAGTGTGTGCACAAGCGCGTACGAGTCTCTTTTAAGGCATTTTGTCCGCTACATACGACCGCACTAACTTATTATACCCTATACCACAAGAGGTGTAGGGTATAAAAAAATGCAACTCCTGTGCCATCATATAAATCAATGTTTTGAAAAGGTATTGAAAATTCATATTAAACCTATTGAACTTATTTTGTATAATTTTTGTAATTTCGGGAATCTTTCGATTTTTTTTGCTTTTACATAACGAGCTCATTCCTTCCTTAGCTTCGTAGGGATTTCAATCATTGAAATTTCAAGCAATATTTAATAAAGAAAAAAAATATAATTAATATTGTTGTAAGAATAAATTATATAATAACAAAAAATGTAGTAAGAAATAATTTTTAAAAAAAAAAACAAAAAAAAAAAAAAAAAAAAAAAAAAAACTACATATATTCGCACATGTTAATAACTGCACGGTTCATGGTATCAAACAAAAGCAAGCTTGTTTTTTTTCTTCTTTTTTTAATTAATTACAATTTGTTTAAAGTATAATAGAGACGTACTGTGTATATATATATATATATAAGTCACTGTTTACTGTTTCGCTAAACTATCACAATGCGACGATGCATTAAGAAAAGCGACGTTTCCAAGCTAAACATGAGTTAGAAATGCAATTTTTTAAATTTAAATAATATTTGATAATAGAAGAAGAGCTTACTTGAACCTGTCTATAGGTGAGAATGACGTAAAGAAATGAGTAAAAACAAATTAATTTACAAACAACTAAACTAAACGACCTTTAAAGGTTGCTACACTGTTCACATATATGTATACTGTAATGCTTACAAACATATATTTTACGTTTAGCCTCAAGTGTTACTTTGGAAAAAGATTGCAAAACTTCTGTCTTCACTAAATTACCCAAAATAATTGAAAGATTAGTTAATAAAAATCTTTTGCAAATCTTTTACGAATTTATTTATTCATTTTTTATTTTTTTATTTATTTATTTATTTCTTTTTTTTTTTTTTTTGTGCTTTTCCCCTTATTTGCATATGTTTTCTTAAGCTGTCCCTTAAGGCAAGGAAATGCCGTTAAGCTTGAGTTTTAGTGTAACATTTATAAGCGTAATGATTCTGAAGAAATCAACTAAAAAGAAACCTTTAAACAAACAAAATTGCTTCAGTCAGCCAATTTAGTTTGTTATCATTCGCAACATCAATCTATTAAGAGGCATTACGTTATGCGCGCGGCTTTTCATCTGAAATAAATTTTTAATGAATTTTTCTCAAGTCCAAAGATGGCTTGGCAATTAACGCTAATGTGCATGCTTAGTGCGTGTATATAAATGCTTCTTATCCATAAAAAATTTGTCCATATTATATTTTATATTAACATTTCCAAAATGTAAACGGAAAACAAGTGAGACAAGCTTTATATGAGTCTCAACAAATGCAGTCTGCAGCTTGAACGCAAGAAACATAAAACAGACAGACAGGCGGACGCAACAGCCGAACAGATGGTTATAACAAGTTAAACTGCCTAAAAGTCGGACCGTGATCCATTATCTAAGCAATTTACATAAGTTTATCTAAAAGAATTCTTTATAAATTCAATGAAATATTCGGATTAATTTTTCTCATACCCTACCTACTACTTGCGATGCAGAGTGTATTAAGTTTCTACGAGCGTATGTAACGCACTGAAGGACATTAGACAGACCCACCTTTTATTATATCAATCGATTCAGAAGATAATTCTGAGCTTATTTGTCAATCTGTCCGTCTGATGTCTGTCCATCCAATTGTAAGTCGCAATTTGCGAATAATATTTGGACGAATGCTGTTGAAAACTACTCGAGTCAGACCACTTTTCCGCTCAATCGAAATATAACGTCTTATGCCTTAATAATAGTATTTCTGTATTCTAAATTCGGGAGTGAAAATTCTGGAACGAATAGAGCAATCTTTTAAACCCATTGCCCTTCCTACGAAAATTGAATTTGTCTACCTTTGCAATACTTCTTACGCAAAATTCTTTCATAATAATAGTTTGGCATAAATTTAGACTATGTAGATGAATTTTTCTGAATCACAATCCATATAAGGATTCTCACGAAAAATATATATGTATATGCCAAGAAGATCTAATTTTTAATAATTTATAATGAAAATTCGTCGTTAATAAATTAACCGTAAGGTACATGGATCACACCACATATAGAGTGCGAATCTTTCTACGACGATTGAGCGTAATTTGTGATTTGTTATGGCGGAAGGAACTGCAAAATCATTGACATCTAAATTAGATTTGCTAAATTTGGACCAAGTCAATTAAAGTCCCATATGAGGGCTGTCGTCAAAATTATACATTAACGCAAAAGTAATTAATAATTTTCGGTATAGTGTTAAGAAAATGAGTGAACCACTGTATCAGGCGAAGTGACGCAGGGTATCCAAGATTCGTCCTTGCCCGACAATAGCATTCTTAGTGATTTTCCTAACAAATTTCATTTGCCCAAAGCTATTTCAGGTTCGTGCCTTTGCTAAAAATCAAAACTATTATTTCTAACAGTGTAAAGTAAATTCGGCATAACGACTATACAAGTTAGATAATGTAGAATACATCAGGAAACCGAAAAATTGTTGTCTTTATTGGATGAAAATAAAATATTTATATATATGTATAATAAAAAATATTTCACTCAATTTCACATCCATTGCTGGTTACACATTTTTGCCCCACATCTTTGAAAATTTTCCGCTTTTTGCTGCGAACCATACATCGAGTCGTTTTTTTGCATCTTCCTGTGGACCGAAACTTTACTTAGCAAATGTGTTATCCATTGATGCAAAGAATTGGTTATTGGAACGTCTCGTACCTGATGCGTAAGTGACATGAACCAGCACTTTCCAGTTGAGCGTTGCCAACACGCCGCGATTGCGCAGTGTTGATGGATGGACAGGCGCCATATAAAAAAGTGCCTTTGTATTGTTTTATTTTGATTAAGGCCATATTTTGAACAGGGAACTTTTCAAGTCGTTTAATTGCGTTCGATTTTAATCGTTTTATCAGACTTTATGAGCGACCCTCTTCTGCTCCCCTTTAAAAACTAGAAAGAAAAGTAATTTCTTCCAGCCAATCGAAGCGGTTGATGTGGATGACACGCCCGGATTTACTCATGAATTTTTACGCCTATAATTCTCAAAATAGATGCACTTTTCATTTTCATTAATTAAGGTACGACGCAGTTGCTCTATATGTGGCAAAAAACTCGACATTTTTCGTGTTGGAAGAAGAGTGAATTGATTGACATTATGACTGCTTATCATTGTCCAAGCAATAGAAGAAATACGGGATCAGACATGCATGTTCTTTGCATGTGCATGCTAGAGCCATTTATGTGCAATCTGCAGTTTCATATTAGCACACCTAATATATACTCGTAAAGCGAGACTAAACGTAAATGTGTTTGAATAGAAAACCATGCACATTGTTAACGGAGAACCGTCATATATGAAGAATAAAATATATGATGAATTATCATATCCATGTTTGTAGGTAAATGTAAAAAGCTTATATAATCACTGCACAGCAATAAACCAAGGTGTTCGTACTAATTATCATATAACATATGTTGTGTGTACAGTTATGGCAATGTATAAGTTCAGCTATAAAAAAAATTTGGCAAAAATAAAACCCACTGCCATATTTTGACAAGACGTTACAAGCTAACGGGAAAAACGTCCCGTATACTTAATCTCCTAAGCAAGCTAAACTATACGTTAAATAGACAAAGTTGTCGATATTGGAAATGAAAAGTTGATGCAGTCCAGAATCCTTCTGGAATTGACTGGAAGCTTCCATACAAACGTAATATACCTTTAGCGAAAGTGGTGTAGGATACAATAAATATAACTTATAATTAGATTTAAAACTTACTGCAATTATATGCAATATTCAAAAGATATTCAAATCTTCGTTTTCGATCTCGGCCACTTTAATGAGACCATAATTGTAAAGCTATTCGATATAGGCATTCATTTATGAGCCAAATGAGTCTCGTTGCACTTATCAAATAACTGAAACGAGCACAACGTCAGTTAATATTATTCTGATTTACACTCATACCGTAGCAACAAATAAGTAAATGCATATAAGTAAATAAATATGAGAGATCGCTATATAATGATGAATAAGATTTAAATTGGTTTTGCCGAAACGTCTGCGCCTCTCGACCTTTAAAACAGCCATGATTTGCCTACAAACACGATATATAGGCGCTATATGAAGCTAAAACAAATGCTTATACGACTAATATGAAAAAAAGAACGCCAAGCAAGAGACAAGCCGGCATCGATAATTGGACTAAGCACGATTTCATACTTTTACGCCCAAATTGGAGAGATTCCGCTAGTGTAACTATCCCGTTTTTTGTTCTATAATTTGATTCGTCATGTCTATCGCTAAGCTGCCTAAGGCAAAAATGAATGATTGAAAGACGGAAAGATCTTCAATGCTTGAATTTATTTTAAAGGCTTATAAGTTTTGCCTACATTCTCTAAAGTTTCATCATTTCATCTTTAGTTAATTTAATTGATTACAATCGTTTAACTATTTCGCTATTCGAAAGTTCTTCGAATATAGCGAAAAAAATATATCTTAAAAGCTTCTTCCATTTTAGACCGAATACTGAAAGTGAAACTCGTTGGACGACATTTCAACGAATATGGAACGATGTCCAAGTAAAAAAAACTATTAATTGTTTACGCGAAAGCACTTAATAGGTTTTTTCGCTTGGGTCATCGCATTACCATTATTCGTCTCGTTTGGCAGTTTCTTCAACGAGTTTAGCACTTTGAGCCTTAATCTGTTTACGATTCGGTACATTGTTTGTAGATTTTGCTGCTGTTTCCGCAACTATGAATTCCTGCTTTGTCCAAGAACTATTCGTTTCGCTAACGAGCAATTCTTGACGATGAATATAATCCGATTGATAATCAGCACGAGCTCTAATAACTTCATTGGGTTTCACTTTCAATTGATAGAAAGCGAGCATAACTGCTCTTAATTTCTTTTCTGCTGTTTTCATTAAAGACGAAACTAAAGCAAAATGAGATAAGATAATAAAGATAATAACGATTGTATATAAAGTTTATAAAAAAAAAAAAAGGCAAGAGAACATACTGTTTTCCTCGAAAGCCTCCGGTGGAACAGCGCGCATTGTCAACATTTCGAATTTGAGTAAAGGCAATTTTAAATACTCATTAGGATAAGGGGCTGGACGACCACGTGATGGGGCAACATGACGCATTATATCGTGTATATTCCACAGAGAATACCTTTAAACAAATAACAAAATTTCCAAAATTCTTTTTCAATTCTTAGGTATTTCAATATAAGCGCTACGCAAAGCTTACGTTTTTACCTAAATAACACAAAAGCTTTGGCGCGATTTTTCATATAATCCAAAATGTTCGCTTGATATTTATCCTGTGCTTCGATCGCTTCTCCCAGTAGCTTTACACGTTTTAAACGCCTTTAATAAAAATTCAAAAAAAAATAAAAATAATAAAAACGAAAAGTTTCGTAAACTGCGTACCCGCAATTATGCCTACATGTCGCTTTCCCTTCATTTTTGAAAAACTTTTGCTAAACTCATCATCAAAGGTAATATTTTTTGAATCTTAAAAATGATAAACGAGTCAGTCGAGCGTTTGGCTTTAATTAAATTCGACAATGTAATAAGATTCTTATTATAGTTAAGGTGCGTCACTCTTTCGCAACACGCGCATACATTTTAACTTTTCAGCGTCTACAAATTATAAAAAAAAAACCCTCAGAAGCAGGGAAGCGAGGCAGGTAGAAACTCATGTATGCATTGTTGAACTTCATCACGCTAATCTTTAAAGTCCTTATGGAAAACAAAAATAGACTCAGATCGCTTTTAAGAAAGTTAAACAACCCCCCAACTCCCGCCC